AACAATTAGTACATAATATTATTATATTAGGCACTTGTATTTACCATAACGGATTATTAAAGAGTAGAATCTGTTTTCACAGATCAATGTGTTTCATCTGGCACATCAGCAACATATATCATGCAACATTATACTTGTTCAAACCAAAAAGAATATTTCCAAACATATTTGAGAACATTGAAACATAAAAAAAATCGCCATTAGTCAAGTACCATATCTAAACATAGAATTGCAGTTTTCTTCTAGTTTCTCAATAGTGTTTATTGTTACCCATGTAGTTTAGCTGAATTTACTTGAAAGGGGCAGACACATTACTACTGTGATATGTTGTACTTAATAATACTTTTTGTAAAATACTGGTGCAAACCAAATTTTGCCTGTCATCACAATAAATAATTAAAAGGCTACGTGTACCTCAACTACCACTTGATAATCAAACTACCAGAGGATATAGTTTCCTATACCCCTATAACTTTTATTGCATAACCTTTTCCACACATCCATTTTATTGTGAACACAACGCCATTTCAATTCAAAATAATGTCTAATGCCTACCTTATTTGAACTTCCTGCGCACGTGGGAGTAGACATCGTCCTCGTATTTCCGCAATATCTTGCCCAGACTCCAACTAGCTTCAAGTCGCAGCGACAACTGACAATATCTTTCCGACGACGGAAACACGAGTTTACACTACGCCCGGAACCAGTAGCAAGAAGTATTGCCAACATCAGCAATATTTATTGCCGCAATGTTAACATTGGCAACTTCTCTTGCGATATCACATTGCTGGCCATTTTCTTGCTAGTGTAAAGCCAGCTTTAGTGCGTGTTTACCAACGTAAATAAAAAAAATGTTGGGCGTTGGGAAGCCCCGGGACCCTCATGGACGCAGTAGTGGCGTAACGCGCGGGCCCTCGTGAAAGGGGGCTTACTTTGAGGGGATATTTTTGTTATTAACGGTAGTAACACTAGTGTTTGCTATACACTTTTAGAAATGGGGCTTAGAGAAAAGTTTGCGAGCGGGCCCGCATTTATTTCGTTACCCTACTGATGGGACCGACAAGCTACTACTTGTTTTCTTTGCAGGTAAATTCGGCTGTGTGTAGATAAGCATGAAAACTCCAAGCTATGAAAGGGAAACGGGCGCGTTTTAATGTAATGTTCAAGGCATGCAGACGGGGCAGAGCGTGGCCATATTTGTAGATTATAGAAAATGAATTGCAAAAGAAAACTAGAGTGTCTTAAAATACGATGAAGAAAGCAAAGAACTGATAGACGAAAATTCACCTTTGAGAATAGCACTACAGTAGAGGGTACAAAATTCCAGGAAAAGCAATAGAGGATTCTACAGTATGGACATTTTAAAGAATGTACTAAACATTTAGATACTTCCGAATATTCACTACTGCGGCTATTGTTACCATTATTTTGATATTATTGCCTCACTTATTAATACTTATAAGGACATTGTTGTACAATGCGAAAGGAAGTGAAGTGATATGTGGAGGATGTGGGACTGTTAGATAAGGTACAAGCTAAAGAAAACATGAGAAAGTTATATTTTAATTTATCAACTTTTAATTGTAATCATGTTTGCCATCGAGTATTAGTTCAAAAGAAACTTTATTAAAGAATCTTACTGACCACACTGTTATTGTGAAACTTTTGTCGAATAGGTAGGGGTTTGGTTTCAATTTCTCTCTATTATTCAGACAACAAAGTTGTGACACTCTGGATTAGCACGTTAACTACCTATGAATCCTTGTGTGACACATGGAGGCACTGCCCTTCGCGGCCGTGAATCCGCGGTGCTTAGCTAATCACTGCCCTGGAAGAGACAGATGGTTCACTTGGGCGTTAACCGTCGTGAGTACGCATATGCCTAACTAAGTTACTCCCATACGCGAAGCTTTTCTCGCAGACGGAACACTGATGAGAGCGTTCGCCGCTGTGAATCAGCATGTGCGTAACTAAAGAACTTCTACGTGGGAAGCTCTTTTGGCAAACTGAGCATTCATAAGGGCGCTCACCGCTGTGGACCCGCATGTGCCTCACTAAAGAGTTTCTAACTGCGAAGCTCATTTGGCAGACGGAACATTCGTGAGGGCGTTCACCGCTGTGCATCCGCGTGTGAGTAATTAATTGACTTCCCTGTGCGAAGCGTTTTTGACAAACGGAGCAATTATAAGGGCGTTCACCGCTGTGGATCCGCATGTGCGTAACTAAATCACCACTCCTTGCAAAGGTCTTTTGGCAAACGGAACATTCATGAGGGCGTTCACCGTTGTGGATCCCCACATGCCTAACCAAAGAATTTCTAAACGCGAAACTCTTTTTGCAAACGGAACATACATGAAGTCGAGGGCGTTCCTCGCTGTGCATCCGCATGTGCGATACTAATTGGCTCCCCTGTGTGAAGGCCTTTTGGCAAACCGAGCATTCGTAAGGGCGTTCACCGGTGTGGATCCGCATGTGCCTTACTAAGGTATTTCTAACCGTGAAGCCCTTTTGACAGACCGAACATTCGTAAGGGCGTTCACCGCTGTGCATCCGCATGTGTGTAACTAATTGAATTCTCTGCGCGAAGCCCTTTCGGCAAACAGAGCATTCATAAGGGCGTTCACCGCTATGGATCAGCATGTGCCTCTCTAAACTACCCTTCGTTGTAAAACTCTTTTGGCAGATAGAACATTCATGGCGGCATACATTTGATTTCTCTTCCGTATCCGCAACAGTCAGGTGATCGTCGTTGCAAACGTCATCACTATTTTCAAAAGTACTTCCGTCTGCAGGCGGCTCGCTGAAGTTTGCTTCTGTGTCACATTCTCCACCTGTTTGCAGAAAAAATAATAAGCAAGATTTCTAATTAATTTCCAGTGATGTACGTCAACGCGCAAAGAACCAGTCGTCTACAAGTAAACAACACGTAGACAACGTATTCTATGCAAAGGTAATCAATCTTCTTTATACCGCGAGGATGAATCTATGAGGGCCATGTTCCACCCTCAAAGCAATTCTACAAATTCATTGGATCACATCCAAAGGAGTAGTACTATTATGAATACAATTTTTAATTTTGAAAACTTTTTAAAATTTCAAATTAACATTATTTTGCTCCAAAAATATTTATGGGGCGGGAGACAGTCATGGCCTTCCTCCCCTGTGAAATACTTATTGGGTCCGCTTCTCTGGAACAGGAATCTGCACAATATTTCTGCGCACCGGGTTGGTGACGCTGCACTTGGAGGAAAGGAGTTGGATGCAGAGTGGTCTGATATGCAATTGGAAACAAGTCCCTACTGTTTTCTTGAGATGGTTACGGAGGTTGTCATTTCTTAATCGGGAATGGTGCATTTTGTTTGACTTACAGAATCAAAAATCAAATTTAATACATTTCAACATGCTTCTACTATTACTGCTCATTAACTGTTTTGGGTTATATGTGAAAAAAATTGTCTACACAGATCACATTGTCTACGTAGTCGAACACGTAATAAGTCGTGTAGATTATGTGTAGAAAACACTACTAGATGTAAAATTATAGTCTACGACACAACTGGTAATTTCTGGAAAAAGAAGGAAGCTACTTGCCAAAGCCATGAAAGTTGGCGGCGCGACAGAATTACCCTTGGCAGAGGCTAATTTATAATGGCTGCCAGTTTCGATTTTATTTTCTATAAAATTTAAATTTAAATGTGACTTATTAAACTACACTATTTCCAAGGTCTCACAATTAATACAAACATTAAGACCCTCAAGAATTAAAAGCGAAAAAATTGTAAATAATTTCGATATCTATTCAAGATTATTTCTCTTAATCAGGCATGAAATGTGATAAACAACCGTAAGTTTACCGTTGATATCATGGACATCCATGTTCAATAATCTTCTTAACATACATTTTTCGTGCCAGTCTATAAAATCCTAAATAGTCTATTTCCATTACTTTATTTTCACAGGCCGACAGTGGTGCATTTGCACACATTTTGCATTGTAACCATTGTGTAGGAAATGATAAATTGTTAAAATTTTGTGTCAGATTTCACTGTAAATATGAATTGCAATAGATTAGTAGTTACAAAGAAATTCCCAATATTATTAGGTGATAATTTTGTGAGTAAATTTATAGAAAGTCATTGAAAGAATCGGAATTCTGTATTTTATTAGTGTAATGTAAATAAGAGAGTGTTGGTTTTGAAGTCTAAACCCGTTTAAACTGATTTATTTATTCTTTTATTATAATTGATTGGTCTTTCAACACCCCAAAGACCCCCCCCCCCCCGGCTTGTGTATTAATTAGCTCGCAAAGGCACTGATAATTCTGCGAACCACCCCAACGGGGCCTGATTGCATAGAATTATGGGTTAAGTATGGTGGGTTTCGTCAGATATTATATATGTATATACCATTCTGACGTCAGTTATAATGTATAATGTATATATATGTATATACAGGTAAACCAATTAATATAACACCCCTCTTATCTCCTCATCCGTGAAAATACGAAGATACCGGTTGGACAGTTCGTAACATAGATAGGGGCTACTGAATTACAGCATTTTCGGTTCTGTACTATTTTAATTACCAAAGGATATGAAGTCAACTGTTTTTTTAAAGTTAGAAACCTATAATTAATTTTAGCTCATCTTAATGAGATTAAAAAGAACGGATATTTCAAATATGTGTTTACTTATATTAAGTAAATAGTTTGTAGATATAACTATGTTATTTGTAACGTATTTTTCGCACTAAAGCGGCCCTAGATTCGATCTTTCCTTTTCTCCACTGAGAAACTGAAAAGGATTCTCTGCATTCCTGCTTTCCGAAAAGGATCAAAAGCGTTCACGTACACGATAGCGGGGGGAGGCCACGAGGATAAAAGCGCTGTAGGAGGATAGGACCAGCTCATTTTTTCTAGTTCTTTAGAGCAGGAATAGAGCAGAGCATTACATACGAAGGAGAAGTTAGATATCCTAAGTGTATGGGTGAATCCGGGAGAAATGCGTTAGACAGTACAAGCCGATATGAGAGCTGCTATCCAGAATGCTTCCTTACGCGCCACCTGATGCAAAAGTATGTTCAAGAAACTAATTGGTGAAATCGGGAAGCTGAAACGCCTTGAACAGAGCGGACAAGGCAGAAAACTGCAACCTGAAGAAGCTGCATGAGGAATTGTTTCTGGGGGTTTTTTCGACCCGACCCAACCCCCCGGGCTTAGCCAATCCACATGCTGGGTGGTCGCGACATTTTGCCAAGGAATGTGGTATAAGTCAGACGAGTTTCATACGCATATGCATCCGGTATTAAATTCCACCCAGATCACCTCATTACATCCAAGCTCTCGGCGGTCGGTATTTCGAAACGCCGCCCAGGCACTTTGCCGGTTTGCCATGCAAAACGCCTGCGAGATGATCCAAGGTTTTTAAACCGAATGCTTTTTTTACGGATGAAGCCACTTTTACCAAACTACGGTAATGTGAATTTAATGAAATGTGCATTACTGGTCATAGTCAAACCTCATTGGTTACGAACAGGTACAATCATCAAGAAAGTGGCAAGTTGTTAACGTTGGGTGCGGCATCATTGGAAATTTCGTTGTAGGCGACCTTACTTCATCCCAGAAAATTATTAAAATAGCAGTATGTACGCAACGTTTCTTCGAAAACGTTTACCTATTCTCGTAGAAGAGATGCCACTGAATCACGTCAGTGCATGTCGGTTCCAAAATGACGGCTGCCCAGCCCTCTTCCTGTGTAGCTTACAGAAGTCTTAAATTGAGAAGTTCCCGTTATTGCTGGATTTAGGGCACTTGCTAAGTGAAGTGACCTGCCGGTCTTCCCGATTTGACTTCCTTCTGATTGTTTTCTTTGGGGAGCACTCAAGAATAAAGTCTATTGCAGAATTCACAACTACGCCAGACGATATTGAAACGGCGTATCACCGAAGCTTGCTTTGCTATATCATGTGACCCCTTACACTGTTTTATTTATCTTCGAACGGCGACTGGAAACGTGCATTGCAGCAGTATGGCACAACATTTCGAACATACTATGCTTAAGTTAAATACCATTTTCTTTAATTTAATGTATTTTTGTATTCTCTTTGTACATTTTTTAAAAATTTTGATAAATGTATTTTCTTTGAAATGACGGATAGCCATAAATAAATTAAAAAACAAGATTTTATTTACTTACTTTTGGTATTGTACTTACAATTGTAATAATACTAGTATAATACGTATGTTTGCACAGTTGTCAAATAATACAGAATAAAATACTATTTTCTTGACATTACAAACCTTCCGGAAATCTTTTCAAGAACACATTTGGTCCTTTCGGCCAAGGTCGTCTGTCGACGGATTAAAATTTCCGCAAAATATCGAAGAAATAGTGTTACTTGTCTCGTGTTAATGGAGCTGTCGTCTGAAGGACGAACTCGCGAAGTTTCCCATTTAGTGAAGAAGAAAAGGTTGCATGATAGGCGCCGGTTTCAGAGGAAAAAAATACGTTGTCAACATAGAATATATCTACAAAACTATTCACTTATATAAAGTAATTACAACATATTGAAAATCGTCCTTTTTAATCTCATTAGATGAGCCTAAATTAATGTTATAGGTTTCTATTTGAAAAAACAGAGTTGACCTATCTTTGAATTAAAATGTACAGAACCGAAATATGCTGTAATCAAGTAGCCCCTATCTATGTTACGGAGCTGTCCCAAACGGTATCTTCGTATCTTTCACGCGATGAAGGAGATAAAAGGGGTGTTATGACTTTAATTGGTTCACCCTGTATATGTATATGTATGTATGTATATATATATATATATACTATATATATATATATAATATATATTATATATATATATTAATTATATATGCGTGTTGTTGTGTGTGTGAATTAAGCGTTAACCCCTCTTAACAAATGAAGTTTACCAATTCCATTTCGTCCAACTTAGAAGCTCTGCAAGGAGAGTTACTTAACTTTGGCATTTATGGGTGTTGTTCTACATATG